AGAGAAATGCCCTCACCTCTATGGGGGCTTGGGGCTGGGGGTGCTCCTGCTCCTGGTTGTGGTCGTTCTGTCTGCCTGTCTGTGTCGGCTCCGAAGGAGAGGTGAGCCCCACCCTGGCCTCCCTCATTTGTCCCACAGCAATGCTCCGTGTTGCCCCCGCCCATGCTTTTTCCTAATGCTTTCCCAGAAGCCCCCTTCAACTCTGATACACTCTGGTGAGGAAAGTGGTAGAAGCTGGGCGAGGGGAGGGAAGAATATCTAAAGAGAGAGGCTAGGGCTTCGGCAGTGGGAACCATGGGAACCAGGCAAGTCAGCAAGTGAGGAGATGACTGCCGGGGGCAGGGGCGAGTAAGGGGGGGCTGGAGGGCACAATGGCTGGGCCATGCTGAGCTTCTTCTTTTCTTCCAGTGAGGAAGTTGGAGCGGAGCTGCGTGAGTCTGGGGGCAGGGAAGTGGGTAATGGGGCAACAAAAGGGGGCGGAGACTGAGATGGTGGGGGACAAGCGAGAGAAAGCAGGAACGTGAGAGAGTCTGCCAGACAGAAAATGAGAGGCAGAAAGAGTGAAATAAGAAAATGAGTAGAAGAGAGGAAAAAATGATATAGAGAAAGGAGGCGGAAATAAGAACAAAGAGAGAAAGAAAGGGGAAGAAGTGAGGGAGACAAAGAGGCAAAGCGTGAGAGAGAAAATCAGAGAGAAAATAAAAGAGACACAGGGAAAATGAGAGAGATACCAAGAGAAAACATAAGAGAGAACCCTAATCCTCTCCCGTCATTCTTGAGTGAGGGGGAGAGAAAGTGAGAGAGTCAGAGACACCAAAAGAAAGGGCAAGAAGAGAAAAGGACAAGATCCGAGGGCTGTAGGGAGGGAGGAGGAGGGAGGAGGAGGGAGGAGGTGAGAGGAGGAGGAAGAGAGAAAGAGAGAGGGAGAGGGAGACAGAGAAAGAGCATAAGCTCAGGGGAGACTGAGAAGGCAATGAGGTAAGAAAGTGGGGGTGAGGCAAGAACTCACAAGGAAGGATCAGAGAGAAGGAGGCCCCTGCAGTGACCTCCCTCCCATCAGTTTCCTCTGCCCTGGCCCCCAGGCCGAGCTCTCAGAGCAGGATCTCCACCACTATGCATCTCTGCAGAGGCTGCCCTGCGGTGAGGGGCCTGACCTTGGCAACGGAGAAAAGGAAGGCTCCAGGGAGGACCCCAGCACTGACTACACCTGCATTGCCAAGAACAAACCCACCTGAGCACCCCTAGACACTGCCCTCAACCCAGGCAGGAGTCTTGTGGTTCACCCAGTAAGGTCCATGGTTTCACCACCTATTGTGTCTCAGGCTTCTCAATCCATCTCAAGCCCCGACTCGACATGGCCACCATCAAAACTTAAGCAATTTACACCCCCCTCTTCCCTACCACCCACTCTGGGGTCAAGTACTAATTTATTGGCTGAATAAGTGTGTTTAGGGACCCAAGCTCCCCCGAAGGCCAGATAAGAGTACAGTAGTGCACTCTTTTTTATGGTTTCAGTTATCCATGGTCAACTGCAGTTTGAAAATATTAAATGGAAATTCTGGAAATAAACAATAAGCTTTAAATTGTGCACCATTCTGAGTAGTGTGATGAAATCTCACGTTGTCCTGCTCCATCCTGCCCGGGATGTGACTCATCACTTTGTCTAGTGGTATCCACGCTGCATATGCTACCCACCCGTTAGTCACTTAGCAACCATCTCAGTTTAAGATTGACTGTCATGTCTATGGCCATGCTACCCTGAACAAGCCCGATCCCATCTGATCTTGGAAGCTAAGCAGGGTCGGGCCTGGTTAGTACTTGGATGGGAGACTACCTAGGAAGACCAGGTGCTGTAGGTATAAAAAATAAAAAATAAGGAACTATAAGCTGACAAGGTCCTTGCAATCTGTGAGGTCAACTAAGGGTTGCCTTGCTTAAAAAAAAAAAAAAAGATTAACTGTCGAGGCAGTGCTTGTGTTCAAATAACCCTTATACTAGCCTAATACTATGCACAATGCCTACATTATTCACCTCACTTTACCTTACCACATTGGCAGGCATTGTATTAATCTCACATCATCACAAGAAGGATGACTACAGTATAATAAGATATTTTGAAAGGGAGACTACATCAACATAACTTTTATTATTGTTATAATTGTCCTATTTTACTATTGTTATTAATCTCTTCTTGTGCCTAATTTAGATATTAAATTTTGTCATAGGTATGTATGTTTAGGAAAAAACATATACATAGAGTTCAGTACAGTCCATGGTTTCAGGCATTCGCTGGGGGTCTGGGAACATACTCTCCCTGGGATAAGGGGAGACTACTATATTTGTGGGCAATTGACAAGTAGGACTAATTTCTCAGGAGAATCATCCTAATTTCTCAGGAGAATCATCCTCAGCTTCCTAGGCCTAGAAAAGGTGGGTCCCCTCCTGTTGAGCCCCAGGAGGGTGGTGGGAGGAAGCTCTAGGCGCAATTGCTTGGAAGCTCCCTCTTTGGACCTTTTCAGGCCAGACTTAGTAGAAGGAAGAGTTAAGAGCCAGGGAAACCCGGAGAGGGGCACACTGGCGCATCTCAAGAATGAAGAAGGAAATACACAAGACTCATAAGAAGTTAGTGGTGGGGCAGAGAGGGATTTATTGGGGTCTCTTGAAGAGCATTGGGATCACTGGGTTCTGGAATCACTCATCGGAAGCCATCCAAGCAGTGGCAGTGTGTTCCCATGTGACAGTGGCCTGGCGGAGAGTTGATCAGATTCACTGGGCGCTGCAGGCCTCTTCTTGGTCTGTCTCCCCCTCCTCCAGCTCTCTCACTGTCCCTTCACCTCTTCTGCCACTGCCATGGCTCCATTACTCACATTTTCCTTGGTAATAGATGGTGCTGCCCATGGCCACAGAGAGAAAACTGAAGGCATAGAATCCAGCCCGAAGAAGGAGGACTGTGAAGGCCCCTAGCTGAGGAGGTCCTGCATATGGGTAGAAGAGAAGAAGGGCTTGGTAAAGGGGACTCTGGGGAAGAAGCATGTACAGGTTCAGGGAGGAACAAAGGGCCGGGAGCCTGAAGGAAGGACCCTCAACTTCCAGGGAGAGTGGAGCCTCCAGCCAAGGAAGCACAGCCTCCCAGCCCCTCACCTTTCTCCACCACCAGCAGAGTCCCATTTCCTGTCCCGACACCCAGGCCCAACACCTCCACCCTGCACACATAGACTCCAGCGTCATGGTCTCGGGTATCCCAGATGTGCAGCTCAGCCTGGTGGTCACAAATGAAGCGAGAAGAGGCAAGAGGGGCCAGGCGGCCCCTGAACTCTGGGGTCCTGTTCCTCACCTCCTTCCCTGGGGCCACCTTGTCCCGGTACCACGTAACGGAGCCAATGGCCAGTCTCCCTTGGCTGGCATTGAAGGAGCAGGGCAAGAAGGCAGTGACGCCCTCCTGAGTATGAATCTCAGGGGGTTGGGACACCCAGAGAGCACAGGATCCTGGGAGCAAAGAGAAGACCCAGAGAAACGCCTCCCCAGTTACTCCAGAGAAAAAAGACAAGAGAGCTTGCAGTAGAATATCCCAGCTGTCCCCTTACCCATGGAGGGTCAGGGGGATAAGCACTTTGGGTGCCTCATTAAATCCTTTCCTCTTTACCAATCTAATTTCTTAACATTGCTTTTTAAATCATTTTCAAATCAAATTCTTTCCTATACCAACTCTCACCCTAACCCTCTCCCATCATTCTTGAGCTGCATTCACCAGTAACACCTTGCTGAAATTTTACCTGTCACAGCAAAATTGAAGCTCGATAATGAATGTGGCTGCCTGGTTAACTAATATAATTAATTATATTATTTTAGTACTAACGACATCCTATAGTAAACCACCCTTACTATTTTGTTCTTTGTTAGAGAGCATTAATTACTTAAATATTCAGGTGAAGACATGGCTATAATTGATTGAGATCCCTATTTAACTTATCCAAATTGATGAATTAAACCAATCATTTAAATCCCTGATTAAATTCTCTAGTCAGTGATATTTACCATTCATTCTTCTATTTCAGTAGTTCTCAAATCTGAGAGCTCATTGGAATCACCTAGAGTCTTTGTTAAACCAAATCCCTGGGCCCTACCCACGGAGTTTGTCATTCAGTGTCTCTGGAGTGGGGCCTGGATTTGCCCCAGGTTCCCAGCTGATCTGAAGCTATAGATCTGGATTCCACACTGCATTTAGTTAAGGAATATGTCTGATAGGTAAGGTCTCTCAGTTAATTAAAATCAGTTTCACTAAGAAACTTAGATTTAATTAGGTGTCCAAAACTCCTAATCATAACTAGACCTTGATATAAGTTTTGTTTAACAGACTTATTAAATTCATCAAATTAAAACTGACCTCTTTTAAAACATTGACCCCTTCTCTTAAGCCCTTTCTTCCTTCAAGTCAATTTTACTGGTTCTTTCAACTTTATCTTTTTAGGAAGGTGGCTGAGAAGAAAAGAGCTCTGAGATGAAGCTGGGGAATGACCCTTTCAATGGACAACACAGAGGAAACTGGGGGAGTCCCTGGGTGTCAGCTTTATGGAGGGCCACACCTGCTCCCACTCTCTTTGCCACTCCTCTCAGGGCTCAATGTTCAGCTCCCCCCACCCATGCTTGCTCCCCTGGGATATCTATGTTCCGCCTCCTCCTTCCTCCCTCTTCCCAGCCCCACACCCCTCAGAGTCCTGGGAGAAAGCCCTGTCACCTGGATGGACCGTGATAAAGATGAGCAACAGCATCCGGGCCATGTCGGAGGGCGTTCCAGTTGACAAGGGGACTTGAGTAGTGAGGTCTGGAGGAGGAACAACCCACCGCTTGTGACTAAGCCTTTGGTCACCAGATGGGAGTGAGGAGCTTTCTATGACACACAGGACTCACACATCACTTGCCAAGGACCTCAATTGCTTGGGACCTTGGGCATGAAATGCATGCCTCCCTAAGAAGAGAAGCTGCTGCCGATGGTGCTAACTGGGTCACTAGGAGGTGGGGCAGCATGTGGGCAGGCTGCCTAAGTGTTTGAGAGGGAGGGTAGGGCTTAGATGTCTGGTAACGCTAGGGTAGATGAGTGAGACCAGGATGTGGTTCCCCCACCTTTTGAGTTTCAAGAAGACAAGCCCTTTACCCAGAAGCCTCCAGGAACCCTCCTGGGATCAGGGCTAACCTACTTTCCTTCCCTTGGCTCAACAATGCCCAGGCCCACCCCATCCATTCCCTTCCCTCAAATCTGGCCCTCCCCAGGAGATTTCTAAAAATTCGGTCATTGTAGGGCTTAGCAGGAGTGAGCTGATTGGTGATGGTGAAGGAGGTTGCTAGGGGCTTGATTCTGAAGCTGCATTTGCATAGCCATCACCCTGTTTAACTTAGGCTGTGTCGACTTGTAAGGTCTGGCTGAATGATTGCAACTGTTGGAAAAGTTTGAACTACTTCATATTCAGATCTCCATTAAAGAAACATAACTTTCACAGAGGTATGCTTTACCTAGACCATTCTGCACAGACTTATCACCCACTAGTAAATCCACTTATTTATAATTTTATTCACTAACATTTATTGAGAAATCACAAAGCGTCCATTACATGAAATGTATTTGTATAGGCACAAATAAAAGACACACTGCATTTCACGTAACTCCAAGGTTATACAGGGATTAATGCCACACACTCTTGTGTATGTATTGCAGACCTATATAACACAGCACACAGAAAAGGATTACCTGTAATAGGCCTGGTGAAACATGGGCCTAGCCCTCACCACACACTTCTCTCTGGCTCCTTTCATATTGATACATATTTTTACTTTGTGTCTACATCTCCAGCTCTGTTTCACAATACATTTGTAGATTGCGCAGTTCCCACCCTTCACTGCAGTGATCTGGAGATTTTTTTTTTTTTTTTTTTTTGAGTCAGGCTGGGTTCGATGGCAGCTCCCCCACAAACTAGTTATATAAACTTGAAAAAACTATTTAACTTCTATGAACCACCTAGACAAGCACGCATGCCACACATCTGGGAAGGACTGACTCAGCCAATCTCCGCCAGTGGCAGGACTGCCTCCTAGGGCAATCTAACCAGAGGATGAGACTGAGGTGCCCCATGGCAAGGCAAGGGCTGCCCCCTGGTGGTCACAGAGCATGGGGCAGCCTGAGGCACCAACAGGTGGCTTTTCTCAGCTGGGCCTTAATTCCAGCTTCTGCTTTGTCCTTTACCTTGCCTCACCCTATCAACACCCATCCCCACCCAAAGAGTCAATGTAGAGAAAATTTTGCCTCCTACTCAACTGCAAGAAACCCATGGTTTGGGGAGTGAGGGGAGGTCACCACTTATTAGAGTGGGGGTGAGGGCTGGAATGGGCAACTGGCCTGAGGATAAAACCATACTTTCACAGCACACACTAAATTACATGGCACTACCCCATGTCCCAGGGCAATGTGGCTTAGAAGTCAAGTCAGCCTAAATTGAAGTCCTGGTTCCACAACCTGCACATCTGTAAAATAGGAGTAGGATCTGTCGACCTCCAGACCCTGCTGTACTGGATGTTCAGTGTCTGTTAGCCCCTAGCTCCTCCCGAGTCCTGGACTAGGATGACCAGTGTTATAGCTGGACCTAAACTCAAGGTTATCTTTCTCTCGCCACGTCTCTTCTATACCTACAATTTTCAATATCCAAAAATGTTGTGGATGCCAAAGACAATACTTGGATTTTTTTTTAAGTCCATCTAGGATAAATTCTGGTATATGTGTGGACCCTTTTCAATAACTCTGAGACCCTCAAGGAACTTTAACCTGCAGGATGGGAACTGCTGCACTAATCAGCTCAGGGGACACAAGGATGGAATTTTTCCAAAGAAAGTTTTACCAGGGATTCAAGAGGAAAGGCAACAAATACAAAAGTTGTGAAGTGGATGGACATATATCTCTGGCCTAACTTTTTTAACATCTAGCTGTCGGCTGACTTGAATGAGATCAGGACCAATAAACTCCCAACTCAGAGCTCAGAGTGGGCAAAGAGGTGACAACACAGAAGACGACTCTGGAATCCCAGCACAGGTGATCCCACCTCACCTGGTGTCTCCTCTGAGTGTTGGCAGGGCAAGATGTGGGTGACTTCTCTGGCTAAGTCCTTATAACTGTTTTTCACCTAATTAATGGTTACCAGTTTATACTTTCAATCTCTAACCACAACTTCTCTGAGATTCATAGCATTGGACCCCATTACTTTCGGTCTTTCCTTCTCGCTATCATTGTCCAACATCCCTCACATTCATCAAGAGCTGACACCTGAATCTCCAGTTTCCTCTGTATTTCAACCTCTGTCATCTCTCTGGAAGACTTAATGTCCAGGTAAATGACATTTTAAACACTGAGATGTATTATATAAAGTGAAATGCACAGATCTTAAGTGTACAGTTTGATGACCTCTGACAAATTATGTCAACAACACTGCCATTGAAATATAGACCATTTCTGTCACGCCTAAATTTTTCTCCTGTTCATTTGGTTGATTCCTCTCCCCTCCCAGAAGCAACTACTAATTTATACCCCTATAGATTAATCTGTTTTTGAACTTAATATAAATAGAATCAGATGGTATGTACACTTGTATCTGGCTTCTTTCATTCTGCATAATGTCTGTGAGATTTATCTACATTGTTACATGTATCAGTAGTTTGTTCTTTTTTATTGCTGAGTGGTATTCCATTACATGAATATACCAGTTTGTGTATCTGTTCGTCTCATGATGAACAATTGGGTTGTTTCTTATGTTTTTTCTATTATGAATAAATCTCCTGTGAACATTCTTATACATGTCTTGCAAATGACTTTTCAATACTTGATTTCACAGTTGCTTTACCTTGTCTACTCCAACCATCACCTCGACTCTACATGACCTATACTTTGGGTCTTATCACAGTGGAAGCTGTTTCACTTTGGAATCTTACCTCCTCTTTCACGGGAACATATGAGCAATCAGGCCTGAGTCCCTCCAGACTCCTGTATCCTACACATGTACATTCACATCGTTCTCCATTTGGAGGACTTTTGGGTTGTTTCTTTCACTTTCGATCAACAAATTCTGAGCATCTATCATGGGCTTACCTAGGCAATCCTGTCACAGCCACAATTTAATTTAACTACTGCTTCCTCCATCTCAGTCTACACATTCACCTCAGGCCTCTTTCTTGAGGTCTGAGTCCAGAACATCTAACTGACCTCTAGTCAATTCCTCCAGGATGTTACACAGGCATTTCAAAATCATTGGTGTCCACCTAACCGGGTCAGCCTCCTATATCCCCTGTTTCAGTGAATGGAAACACAGTCTACCCAGTCACTGAAACCCTGGGCTTTATCCTATTCTGCCTTATCCCTCAATTCCCCCATCCAAACAGTTCCAAGTCCTGTCCATTCTGCCTCTGAAATATCTCAGGTATCTTTCCCCACCTCTTGATTCTCACTGCTAGTTAAGGCTCCCACCATCTCAGGATGAAACCAGTACAATTGCTTCTCTGATGGACAACGTGGTTTCTTCTCAATACCATTCCACGCCTCTCTTTCTGAGCACTGGGGCTCATCCATTCATTCAACAACACTTTCAGTGAGTGCCTTCCATGTGCCAGACATCCTGGCATTATCTTCCCTTATGTCTTTTTCCCTCATCTCTCTCCTTCTCTCTCATATCTCCCACGTTTCTGTCCACAACTCTTTTTGTCTCACCATCTTTATTCATATCGTTTATTTCTTCCCTATCTCTCTACCCATATCCCACATCTCTCTAAATATCTACACACACACACACACACACACACACACACACACACACACACACACACACGTCTGCTTAGTCACTAATTCATAATTCAACAAATATTTAGGGAGCATTTTCCATGTGACAGACACTCTATCCCTCCATATTTCTATTTCACTTTGATGATCTCTCTCCACATTTTTTTCTGCCTCTCTATCTTTCTCCACATTTTTCCTCCCCACCTCTCCCCATCAGCACACCTCTTTCTCCCACCCCATCTCTCACCTTCTTTCTCCCCTATTTCTCTCTGAGTGGGAGAATGAGCCAAGTCTGGCAAAGCACTCACCTCTTCTCTTTGGGGGCCAATCACTCCTCCACTGAAAGCCTTTCCTGACTCTGCCAGGCTGGCTGGGAGCACTCCCATGTGCTCTCGGACTCTCAGTGCAAGGTTGCTTTAGAAAAATTTAACCTACAATATTAGAGGGAGACTTCAACCTACATCTCTCAGAAACTAATAAATCAAACAGGAAAATAATTACTAAAGACATAGAACAATAAAGCCAGACAATCAATAAGCTTGATCTAATGGAAATATGTAGAATCTTAGAAAAATTAGAAAATACACATTCTTTTCAGGTATACATAAACATTTGGAAAAAAGAACCAAAATTCACACAGAACACAACTGCTAACCAAAATCTATGACAATTTAAGGTCAATGACAAAGAATATTTGTTATATATTTGGAAATTTAAAAAATTCATTTCTAATGTATTTTTAAACTTTAAAAATCTATTTCTAAATAATGCAAATGTTAAAAGAAAATATTATAATAGAATTTAAAATATTTTGAACTGAATGACAGTGAAAAGACTGCCTATCTAAACTACGGAATGTAGCTAAAAGAATTCATAGAAGTAAATATGCATATTAGGAAAGAAAGTTTGAAAATCAATGAGTTGAACAGATATGTCAAGAAATTAGAAAACAGCACAGAGTAACCCAAAAAAACTATGGAAGGAAATAATAAAGATATTTTTAGGAATTAATGAAATAGGGGAAAAAAGATAGAGCACAATACGAATGTATATTTATAGAGACTACTCATACTAAAAATCTCTGACCAAATTGACTATGCAGAAAAGGGAGAGAAAAGGCATGCATAGGCCAAAAATAAATAATTTAAAGGGAAAGTAATGTCAGATACAGTAAATATTTATATTGCAAATTTTGATAAATAATGTTCTACACCAAAACCGACTCAAAAAAATTAAAAGCCTGATATATCTATAATCATTAAAGAAATGAATTGGTTGTTAAAAATTTAGCTGCCAAAAAAAAAAATCACCAAGCCTAGATCATTACAAAATCTTCAAGGCGTAGATCATTCCACTCATACAAAAATTATTCTAGCAATCAGAAAACAAGAAGTTTTTCAACTTCATGAGATTAACATCACCTTGACACAAAAGTCAGGCAAGGACAGTTTGAGAAAAGAAAATTATAAAACAATTTCACTCATGAACATAGATGTAAGAGAAAAAAAAAGAACTTCATAAAAATATTAGCAAATCTAAGCCAGAATTGACTAAATAATATAAAACAACTTAACCAAGTAGTCTTTATCCTAGGAAAGCAATTCACTATTCGTGTAATTTCTAGTTCCTATTCATACAATTCGTCGCATTAACGTGACCATCTCTACTAAAATAATGAAAGCA